TATTAGGGGTTTGCATTAAAAGCCGCTGTTTTTTCTTTATATTTGAGCACTTATTTCAATAACAAAATATATGAATACCTCAATCAAAGTATTTTCCCTCGGAAGCTATGACTTTTTGCCACTTTTCAGGCAGAAGTTGAATTCCACAACGAAAGAATAGTCTGTCTTTTGAGTCAATCCATTCAGCAACTCAATTTTCGACTTCGCTATAATTATGGAAGTGTGTATCTTCTAGAACATGTTGCATCGATCAGAACAGATGGTAATCGCTTGGTGCTAAGTCTGGAGAATACGCTGGGTGTGGGAGAACCTCCCATTCGAGATCTATCAGTGTTTGTTTCACGGCTATAGCAACATGCGGCCGAGCGTTATCATGAAGTAAAATCACCTTTCGACGATTTGATGCAATTGATGGTCGTTTTTGCATCAAATTATCATTCAAACGTTCCAATTGTTGTTGATAACGCTCGGTGATGATTGTTTCGTTCGGTTTAAGCAGCTCATAATACACGATACCTTCCATATCCCACCAAATACAGAGCATTGCTTTGTGACCATGGATATTTCGCTTTGGAGTCGATATTGATGGTTGGCCAGGATCAACCCATGATTCTTTGCGTTTTGGGTTGTTGAAAAAGATCCATTTTTCATCGCCGGTCACGATACGCCACAAGAAACTCTTCTTGTTATGCTTTGCAAGCAAAGAAATTGAGATGTTTAAACGATTGGCAATGGCATTTTCGGTCAATTCATGTAGCTGCCATTTTCCTTCTTTCTGAATCTTTCCCATAGCTTGTAAACGTCGAAAAATAATTGATTTATCGACTTTCAGTTGTTGAGACAATTCTTTGAGTGTTTGAGCTGGATTTTCTTCCAATAGAGCTTGCAGTTGTTCATTTTCGAATTTTTTCGGTTGACCTGTTCGTTGTTTGTGAACGTCACAATCACCAATTTGAATCGTCGAAACCAGTCTCTACATACTGTTTCCCATGGAGCAGATTCATCATAAATTTCCGCAAGCAATCGATGAGTTTCAGCTGCATTTTTTTTCAAATCAAAATAGTGTAAAAGTACACATCGGAAAAACAACTTATCATGTTCCATTTTAATTCAGTTATAGAAAAGCACATATGTAAACAAGGATGACGTCTGTTGACTGAATTTTAATAGGAAATGTTCACATTTAAAAATGATATAAGTAGCAGATGTCTCTGACCATAGCATACGCAGTTACTGCCATCTAAACGTGAACAGTGGCTTTTAATGCAAACCCCTAATAATAAACTTAATGCAATTATAAGAGCGCAAAAGGAGAAATTACCATCATTACATTCTAACAAAATGGTAGTATACAAAACTAATTGTCAAAATTGTGATGCTTCCTATGTGGGTCAGACAAAAAGGTTATTGAGGACACATATTAAGGAATACAACACTCTATAATCACAAAACATAGAATCACGATTTTGATTGGAATGACATCAAAATTTTAGAACAAGGTTTAATAAAAGACTAATTTCGGAAGTGATTCATATAAAAAAACAAAAATGGATTTAATCTACAAAATGACACGGAATTGCTCGATTCGTTAATTATGTATAATAATTTAATTTAGAGAAAATGGATATGTTCTTGTTTTATAAATTATAAATTTGTATCGCCGATTTTATGTTGGTACTCATTTGATTTTCATGTTTCATAAGTTATAAATTTGTATCGTTGAGTTTGCGTTGGTATTTATTCTATTTAATTTTTATATATACTTATAAACACTGCATAATGAGAAACGTCCTCTCACACGCTCTTAAGACATAGTTATAAGTACATCACGTTAACGGATTATCATTATGCTGAATACAATGTAAGTTTTATCTAATTGATACAATCAATTTTAACATTTTAACTACGATTAAAAGTTTAAAAATTTCATACATTAACTCGATTTTAGTTAAATGATTAAATTCTTTGGATATCTAGCTAAGTATAACAGACGATAATAAAGTCAATTTTTTTCTCAATTTTGGACAATAGCCTAACGATAATTCACTGACAGCATTTGCCTATTGTTTTAACGTATCAGTTTGGTTCCGATGACTTTATTATTACACTAAAGATGACCTATGATCGAAACATCTATAATTGGTGATTGATATATATATTATTTTTAATTATACACACGTACAACTGTGTCGGCTCTCATTGGCTTTACACTCCTTTACTAATTTAATCTTTGGAGTCTTTTTTAATTTTAATTGTTATGTATAATTATATATAAAATTACGCATAATTGTGTATGAGCAATTTTTTTTAACATTTTTCCAAACTTGTTTTTTTCTAAAATGACTAATGCGAAAATTATCTCTTTAATTATTTTTTATGTTTTCACATTACTATTGCTATTTCTATTACACTAAAAAGTAATTTTACAAAAAAAGAGGGATATATAAATATATATAGACATATTTCATATATGATTATACGTGTTTATGAATATTTATATATGTTTATACATATTTATACATATTATATGAAAAATGTAATAAAATTTGTAATATATACAATATATTCATTATTTATACCTATAATTTTTTGTTCCGTTAGTTTCGATTTGTTTAATAAATTCGTAATTTCTTCTCGCTGATTTTCATCAGCTCTTGTTTTCTCAAATTCGTCACTGATGACACGCGACTTTCTCTTCGGTTTTATCGGCATTGAGTTACTTTCCATGCATGCTCCATGCATAAGAATATTCTTCGTTCGTAATCTGCAACAGCTGTTATATATTGCGATTCTTTCAAGCGCCATATCAGCTTCTGTTGATTTTTCTTTAGCCAACAGCCATCTCGGTGATTCCGGTATAATCCTGTTACATACTATATAATGTGAGGAGATATATATATATATAATATATTTATTTAATATTACAAATCACATAAACATAACGTTTGAAAGATTTTAAAATTTTGAACGATTTTAAAATATCTTGAAGATTTTCTATTTTTGTGTTAATTATGGATTGTTTCTTCCTCCTTCTTTTCTTTTTCTTTTTCTTACCAAATATACAGCACAGTGATTGCAGTGGGTACGGAAACAGCCAATTGCAAAATTCGCCAATCAGGAATCACGTAGCTGAGTAATGCGAGCAGTACGAGACCCATCGACCAGGAAATCTGCATAATCAATGCGACAAGAGTGCGAGATCGCGCTGGAAATAGTTCCAGGGAAAGAATATATGTGGAATTCTGCAAGCCTTGAACGAATACTCCTTGAAGACTACGTAACACCAGAAACGCAGAATAACTCTAAAGTCGAAAATTTTACTCTCCTTTAACATTTCTCGTTTTAGTTTTTATACATTACGTCTAAGGATGCACCGGATATGTGGAAAATATCCGGAAGGTATCCGATATTATCCGACGGTACTTTTTTATTATCCGGTCGGATAACCGGACATCACTAGTATCCGACGGAATATTATATCCGATTATATATCCGATTGTATCGGCAATATATCCGACTGAAACTTTATATTGAAAATTTCATGCAGAATTCTATTTTTTTCAGCTGAATTTCTTTTAAAGTTCATCTTTCCTCTTTTCCTTTTCATGTTGAGGAAATAAAAATCTGTTCTTTTTCGAATAATTCTGACCTAGTGCAATAAATTAGAAATTGAAATATTAGTGAAATAAACTATATCTGTCTCATTTTAACTTATTACAATAGTTCAGAACTTGAGGCGGAAAAAGAACAAATAATGAAAATTATCAAGCTATTTTTTCTACTGCTTTTCTTTTTTTTAAATTTTGAAGAATTTGTACTAGATATTCAGAAAATATCCGGTATCCGATCGAATAATTATACTACCGGATATCCGACCGATATCAAATATCCAGTGTCACATTCTTTTCAGATATCCGATATCCGATAATTTTATAATCCGGTGCATCCCTAATTAGGACAAGTAACCAACTTATTAAATGTTCCTTTTTTTTCGTTCGAGTATCAAATCCACATCTTGAATAGTAAGATAATTCATGAATGAAAAAAATTGATGAAGATATCAATCGTAATTTTGTTTCATTGCGAAAAATTGAATGCAATAACACTAAACCACTTTTATAAAAATGTGGAATAATTAGTGTAAATTTAATTTTTTCATCTTTCAAATAAATTTTGTCATTTTTCCAGAAATATAACGATTAAATTCTCAATTTATCAACTGCTATTTTTAATATTGTGATAAGAAATTTTTACCTGCACAATATAGAGTGCGACCGCTATTGTGCCTTGCACATAAAGACATATCGCTTGGACTGGAAGTCTACCAATAAGATCAATTAAAAATCCGGTGATCCATGCACCCAGAAGCACTCCTATGTAATAAACAGTCGGTCCAAGAAAAGATAGATATCGTTTCTCGCATACTAAACCCCATTCAGTAACTACGCTGTTCTCCATAAATTCCGTCTCGAAGTGATATTCGCCGGAACAAGATGTAAACGTCACTTCTGGCGATGTAAAAGTTAAATTGGCAAACATCGATGAATTTTCCATGACTTGACAACCATAGCTCTTATGCATTGAATCTTTCATCTAGGATATATACAAAAAAATTTATTTATGATATCAAATTATTGTATTCTAAAAAGTAGAAACTATTTCTTAAATTGATATATTTTATTTTAATACATTAATATATACTTAAATGTGAAACCACTATAATAATCAAGAACAAAAAATAAATTCTACATAAGATTTAAATTCTTTACTACATAATATATTAAATAATTTTATAAGTTCCTAAGGTCAAATTTAAATGACGCTGAAACATAAACATGTACTTTTTAAATAATCTTTTCATCTATAATTTTTTTAAATTTATAATGTCCAATTAGTATTAAACGTACTTACATATTATATACACACACACACACACACACACACACACACACATATATATATATATATATATATATATATATACCTGTGTATATATGTACATAGAGTATCTCAAAATTATCACCAAATATTTCAGAGACAAGTAGAGCGGAAACTAAACTGAGTTGAAAAGTCCTCTATCATTTTGCAATTTTCGCAATAGTTAACAAGAAATTAATTACAAAAAAATGGTCTTCAATAATTTTTTACTCAAATACTGTTAACTTTACAGAAAAACTGTAATAGATAAAAATTATTTTCTTCTCATAAAACTCTAAGAATTTTTTCAGAATTTTTCAACTTTTTAGTACTACATTTTCTTATTTTTACAAATCTGAAAAAATACAGTATTAAAAAATTCTGAAAAAATTCTGAAAAAATTCTTAGAATTTTATAAGAAGAAAATAAATAATTTTTGTCTCTTACCGTTTTTCTATAAAGTTAATATATATATAATCCATGCTCGTATGCGTAAGTAATTGTTGTCGGAACAGTAAAATATATGAAAACTTGAAAAGATGTCTAAAATTTGTATAGTTTTCTATATGCTTTATTATATATGTATCATTTTCTTATTTTTACAAATCTGAAAAAATACAGTATTAAAAAATTCTGAAAAAATTCTGAAAAAATTCTTAGAATTTTATAAGAAGAAAATAAATAATTTTTGTCTCTTACCGTTTTTCTATAAAGTTAATATATATATAATCCATGCTCGTATGCGTAAGTAATTGTTGTCGGAACAGTAAAATATATGAAAACTTGAAAAGATGTCTAAAATTTGTATAGTTTTCTATATGCTTTATTATATATGTATTTAAATTTTGTATACAATATATATACAGAATGTCTGAAAATAATCGCCAAATATTGTATTTCATGAACAGGTAGAGCAGACTAAATTGAATCGAAAAGTCCTCCATTTTATAAGTTTCCTCATTTTATAGTTAACGAAATATTAATCCTTAAAGATAAAGACTATTGGGGAAACTTACAAAATAGGACTTTCCGACTCAGTTTAGCTCTACCTGCCCATGACATATTTGGCGATTATTTCCAGACACTCTGTATATGTATGTATATGAATTTAGATTTTCTAAATATGTAATATTTTTTAAATATATATACATATTAACCCTGTTATTATTTCTTTGAGATTTATGTCTAAATTCTAAACAAAATTGTAAGGTTCGTAACATATTCTCGTAAGATTTATAAGAATTTTGAAGTGTTTATATCTTTATACGATATTTTTATAGACAGCTTTTTACTAATTATAAGATTTACAAGAAATCTTAAATATTTACGAATAATCTTATGTTTTATGATACATACACATAAAATTAGAGAATACTAGTTATAAGTTCTTATAAGTTTTACGAGAACAAAGTTACGAGTCTTACGATTCTGTTTAGAATGATCTATTAATTTTTTCTATGAATAAAAATTAAAAATAATTTTATTTCAAATCCATTCTTTTATAATAAAATTATTGTATAAGATTGAATCTTTAAAAAATAAATTTTTAAAAAATTGTTGCATTTAAAAATACATTGAATTGTTAGAAAATAGATATTTAGATTTTATTATATATATATATATAAAGTATATTTAAATTGTTAGAAAATCTCGCATCTGAATCATCATATGTAATGAGATATAAGAAATAACCTTCTAAATTACGTATCACATATCAGAGTCGTGACATATTTTTCAGAGAAAAGATATGTTTCTTGGAATAGATGATAATTTCTTGGAATAGATAATAGGAATAACTGTGCAGTAATAGTAAGTTCATATTAGGGATGTTTATCGTTATTCGATAATATTCGATATTTTTTGCTATTTGATATAAAAATATCGAATAAAAAATTATAAATAAAATATTGACTGGATATTTTTTTACTATTCATATTCACTCTCCATTTTTAGGAATTTTGGATGCATTCGGTATATCGGTAGTCGGTATAGCATACCGCGATGACATACCGCGAGATTCAGGCATCCTTAGGCATTAAAATAAAAGCAATACATACGATTTTGATGATCACTTGAGCGTACGGAAACTTTGCAGTCGTTGGATCCCATACAATTTGATCGAAGCTCAAAAACAGGTTCATATTAAATGGAGCAAAGAAATACTCAAGAAATTCAACCGAGGTCGGTCAAATTTGGTCTACAACATCGTTGGGGACGAAACATGGATCTATTCGTATGAGTCCGAAAGGGGCTCATCCATAAATAACAATCCACTATTTCAAAATGAACCGAAACCAACAAAAGTTATTCGTTCACGCAGTGCCAAGTAAATGATTGCTTGTTATACCGGACATGTGGCAACCGTGGCTTTAGAGGATCGAAGAACTGTAAATACTGATTGGTATACAATAATTTGTTTACCAAAAGTCATAAATGAATTGTGTAGAACGAACCGAAATCGTCGCATCATCTTTCATCATGACAACGCCAGCTGTCACATAACATGTCAAACCGTTGATTTTTTATCCAGTAAAAATGTCGAATTGATGACTCATTGTCCATATTCACCTGATTTATCATGTAATGACTTCTTTTTGTTCCCAAATATTAAAAAGAAGATGCGTGGTGAGCGATTTGAATCGCCTGAAGCAGCTGTTAAAACATTTCGTATACTGATTTCTGAGGTTACAGCCTCAGAGTGGAAAAAATGCTTCGAAAATTGATTCGAGCATATGCAAAAATGTATCGATCTTAAAAGCGAATACTTCGAAAAACAATAAAGTCATTTACCGAATTTTACATGTTTTTTTCATATTGTTTGCAGAAACTTTTCCAGCAGCCTACGTATTATAAGTGCAACAGGAGATGAAAAGTAAAATAAAGCAAGACTCTTTGCCATTAGTAGAAAAAAATCCATCTAATCCAAATCAAGAGATTTTAAACAATTCAAATTCCATATAGATAAAACATATACGGAAATTAAAAAACAAGTCAAATGCGGATGAATTATCTAATGATCAAACTCCTGAATTAAAATTATATTTTAAATCCACAATAATTCCATTGTCGCAAGACCCTATCAAATATTTGCAAAACATTTTCTCCTGCATTGATGGAAGTTACTTTAAAATATTGTGTAACAATGATGAGTTCTTCTGTAGCGTCTGAGAGAGTTGTTTCAGCCATCAACAATGTAATTAGTTACTGACAGGAGAAGTAGATTAACCAGTCGTAATATCGATGAAGTTATTTTCCTTACATATTTTATAAAAGATATGTTTAAATAATATTCAAAGATTTATTATTATTTATATGTTTATACATATACAATATATGTTATTTAGTTTTAATGTTTCAAAGATTCAAAGTTTATGTTCATATTTAAAAAATGTAATTTAAAAATATAATTTATAAAAAAAATGTTGAATGTATAATTTAGTATAAAAATAAATTTTTATGATTAATAAAAATGTTTTTATTATTACAAAAATAATTATTAAGTATATTTTCCACCAATTACATTTCTTAACTTTTTTTTTATTTTAGATTTTTGAGCCAATATTTGAGAGCTAGTGATTAGTTTAATTAGTTAATTTAATTATTGTGACATAAAGGAAGGAGTTTCATTTATCGTTTGTAATTTATAATAGGGAATAGAGATTGTAAGGACTATAAATAGACGGAGTTTTTTCTAGTTTCTTTCATCAAATGATCAAATATCAAATATTACATATCTTCATTCGTAAGCTCTAAAAAAAAGTTATTTTTTATTAACCTATTCATTATGTGATATATTTGATATAATGTCTATTCATTCGGAATAAATATAGATAGTTTTAAAATATCTGAATATATTCATAGTCGATATTTTGCTCGATATTGACATCCCTAGTTCATATATATTGGGTCATCTAAAAAGTATCCGCGGTTTTTTGTCACTAGATGTGTGTTGATGGTCATATATCTAGTGACAAAGTACCGCGGATATTTTTTAGATGACCCAATACATTCAAAATAATTATATAATAATAAATGGACAGTATAAGAATATTCACGTAGCAGTCTTACGTTCAGTTAGTGCAGTTGTTCTGTCATAATCACATCTATACAATTTGTTAAATTATTTTTATATTACGATACAAAGCAAAGTTTAACATTTTTAAACATGATCAATCCATTTAATGTTGTTAGACTTTTATTAGCATCTATAAGTTCAGTATATCGAACAGAAACACCAATCACTGAAGAAAAAATAGAATTAAAAGAACACATACAAAAATTATTGTTGGATAGCATTTTTCACTATAATGGGTTGGTAACAGAAAAAATCTATCTCGATTATCAAGAACCTTATAAACTACATAAGATTGAGCGCTGATTGCGCACGCACGCACGCACACGTGGAATCGGAATTGAATACAGTCAGAATTATGAAGATTTAAATTTTAATATAATGAACTTTCACTACGAGAATTTCTACGAAACATGGAGTCTGGAGAATAATATTACTCATGTAACTCTTACAAAAGACTTAAAAGGCCTTAGAATTAATGGACATGAGAATTTTCCTTGTGATGCGCGGATATTATTGGAAACTCTTACAACTTCAACGATTGATAGTTCTTCTGGTACATTTTATTATCATGGTTTACAGAAAGCAATAAAAAATCATTTACGATACACTAGATCTTTCCGTGAATGTCCTGAAAATCCA